CTATAGAAAACATCATCTGACAGCCACCTCTGAACTGTTCACTCCCCACGCCTACAGTAAAGTGTTGAACCAGCTCCCTGGATCCTGTGTTTAAATGTTCACCCCAACATCAGATGTTCTGTGAGCCAACACCAGCACAACTATACAGCTGTTTCAACACCTGCACAATCTAATGCAATCCAACACAACTGTTCTACCATTAAGTTTACTCTGATGATGCCTGTAAAGGTTTTTACACTGTCACAGAGACGGAGCACATTTAAGTCCCGACCCACCGGAGGGGAAAACAATTCATCTCTCTCCATTGACTCTGTATTGTGTGAAGGTTCCTCCTTGTCATTTACGTCTGCTAACAAACAACAGAAAAATGCCTTAAAGCTGCTGTGTGGTCACACGCACTACCAACATGGTGAAGAATCCAGAACTAGGTTTTTACAAGCTGCTGAACCAAAAAACTGAGGTTTAAGCAATAAGATGTGACATCAGCAGGAAGATGTGAGAAACCTGTGAGATCCTGACACTCAGTGTGTTGACATGCAGCAAACATTTTGTTCATGTGACCAGACAAACTGTGTATCAGTGGCTCCTGATCTGTTTCCTTAAGGGACCCCTTTTCTGTCAGTGAGTCAACTGAAGAACCCTGCCTCTTGCCCAATGTCAGCTGGGACAGGGTCCAGACCCCCCGCGAGACGTCCTTAAACCCACATTAACTGATGTTTTTGGCCACTTGGGGGCAGCAGAGACAAGCTGAGAACACAACATTGAAACATCATCATCTTCTAAGTTGGTCAACTTCTTAGTAAACAGTTGCTTATTTACACATCCAGCAGTTACGGAGCAACGTTATCATTCATTAGGAGTCATGTTTTTATCCACCTGATGAATGTGAGGAAACATTTACTCTTCTTTTAGCTCTGTTTCTGACTGATGATGATAATGATGATGATGGTGGAAATGTGTGTCTCTTCAGCTGCTCAATGCTCCACCATGTTCACCAGCTAGTCGCCAACGTTTCCCGTTGACTGTGTTGTGCTGGGCAGGTCCTGAGGGGTATTCCAGATAGGAGGTTCAACAAACTCTGAGTCTAACCCTGAACTCTGAGTTGATTTACCCTGAGATGGGAAACTCTGAGTATCCGGTTCCAAAACAGCTGATCTGAGTTAGTTCAGTCAACTCTGAGTATGTTCACTCTGAGTTAAGCCAACAATAAAAAGACATCATCAATGGAGCTCCGACTCCACGATTCACCATGGCAACAGGTAAATAAAAGACAGCACCTCCATTTTAATCCAGTGGATGTAGAGATATTAATGCATGTGTAGCAGACGGTGCACGTTTATCTTTAAAAGACGAGTCAGAGCGAGGAAAGTGTAAATAAGTTAACCATAAAGTTAATAAAAAGGTTTTATTCAGTGTTGTCCATTTATTCATCATTTATCAGACTTACATTTCCTTAATGAAGATAAAGTGGTGGAATCTGACTGTGTATCAGGCCGTAGATACATTACATTATATTAATAATATAAAATAATATATTTGTTCAGATTTAATCTGATGGGGAAAACAAGTGAGGAGGCAGCAAGTGAAAAATAGGAAGATTTAAAACATATAGTCTAGGCTATAGATCAAAGACATAAAGACATGACTGCAAACTCAGTCTGACCCAGTAATAATATGTTTGGTAATTAGCACTTGAAAAGATGTTGAGGTTAAAATACAGTAGATTTTAAAATGTTGCACACCTATTTGTGTCTTGACTCAACAGCATTCAGTGACTTTATTTCAGCTACAAATGTATTAAATTTAAAGACAGTGAAACGCTGCACCATTGCTCACTCAGAAATATTAACATATAAACATATAATCCCCAATATTAGGCTATAGGAATTATGTTCCATCAGTGCGACCAATGATATCAATGATAGAGATCATTAGTCATTGATACTACGTGTCTAAAGCTTCATACCGATTTTTAAAATTTAAATAATTAGACCTACACATTATGTGCAATAAACATTTGGGAGCTGCTCTAACAGACTGACAGTCTGATCCTTGTGCACAGTGTTAAAAAAAATAAATAAATATAAAAAGGACAGAGGTTTGATTCTGAGCTGAGGGTGAATTCTCGCTGTGTAATACTTGAATGTTAAGACAAAAACCGATGTCCAAAGAAATGATTGATGTGCATAAATTCAGTAACTGTCTTTTACTAACCAGTAAAAGACAGTCCTGAGTAACAAACTAATATCCAGCAGGATTTAGACTGTGACAGATAAATCGACAGGTAAATCTCCGCTAATTAATGCGCTTCGATACAAGCTTTGACACGGACTGAATGAATGAAACAGCGTGTAAGAGGGAGGAGACAGAGAAAAACCTAACCAGTGAGCAGGTTAGGTTCACAGACTCAGTTGCCATGGTGATTGACTCAGAGTTTGATTTACCTCTCTTTCTGGAACTGAAAACCCAGAGTTTCCCTCATTTCAGGGTTAACATACTCAGAGTTTTCACTAAACCCGCTTTCTGGAATACCCCTCTGTAGTGTACAGTGGGTTTATCAGAGCGTTACTGATGAAAGCAGCTGCCGACTGCTGGAAACAACACTGACAGGAGCCCTGAGAGTGAACCAAAACAGTGAGCTCAGAGACACTCTGACGCTCTGGGNGACTGAATGAATGAAACAGCGTGTAAGAGGGAGGAGACAGAGAAAAACCTAACCAGTGAGCAGGTTAGGTTCACAGACTCAGTTGCCATGGTGATTGACTCAGAGTTTGATTTACCTCTCTTTCTGGAACTGAAAACCCAGAGTTTCCCTCATTTCAGGGTTAACATACTCAGAGTTTTCACTAAACCCGCTTTCTGGAATACCCCTCTGTAGTGTACAGTGGGTTTATCAGAGCGTTACTGATGAAAGCAGCTGCCGACTGCTGGAAACAACACTGACAGGAGCCCTGAGAGTGAACCAAAACAGTGAGCTCAGAGACACTCTGACGCTCTGGGGAACTGAGGTCAACTGGGTATGTGGGTGTACACACAGGTATATATTGGTAGAATAATGTATATTCATACTTTGTATAATTCATATGTTTACGGATTTAAATCTAAAAATATAGCGGGACAAGTTGATGAAGATATAAGTGTAATAAGTGTATTTATATTAATTTTTTGGTCAGGCAAAGGCAATTGGTGATATATATCTCATCGAAATCTACAAATTCCAATTCTTTCTGTTATTTCCCTCCAGACTCTCTGATTCTTCCTCCTCTCTCTGTAGATTAATAAAGTGGAGTCTCAGTATAAGAGTAAAGTTTTCACTCAGTTTGAAACATTGTCAATGTGTGCAATGTCATTATCACAATTGTTGAAAATCAGTAACACATAAACATTTACAGCTGTGTATCATATACTGAATAAGAAAATCTCACCACTGAAATGCACGTAGGTCTCAGCAGAAACCTGATGGTTGATTTCCTCCTGTGCGACCACACACTGGTAGTGGTCAGTCTTGGTCACAGTAGTTTGGAGGATGATGTCATAGCTGCCTCCTCTGTCTATGACCTGTGGTTCTTCAGCATGAAGTTTGTTTCCAGAACTGTCCTTCCATTCTACTTTAGGTTTTGGAGAAGCATCTCGAACAACACACTGCAGTAACGCCCAGTTGTTTGTCTGATTAAGTGTCTTTACAGATGGCTCTCTAGCTGCACCTGTGAACACAGTGCAAACAGACATTAATTGACACCACTACAAGCATTATTTCTGACTCATATTATGACAGAAGCAAATACACAGTAAAGACTTCTAGAGAAGTCTTGAATTTGACGCTACATTTGTTATCCTAAAAAAAAAACAGAGTTTGAAATTACATCACTTGAAATTAATTGTCTGAGATCTGCACAACATTTTCTAATTCAGTAATAAAGAAAAACCTACGGCTTTCAAAATGGTAATACAGTTCAATCAGCTTCTCTCTTAAACAGTTTCAACACAAACTGAACACTTGAACCTTCATGAAGGAGGATTTATTACAGGACTGTTAAATTAGATTGCATTAGTTAAAGATAGAAGCACTATTATTATTTACAAATGAGTGTATTTGGATTGGAATTTGCAGGTTTCAACACCTTGTACCAGTGACAACATATCATAAAAGATAAAGACACAATGATCAATATACTAAATTGACTTTGATACAGAAACTTTCAGGAAGAGCTGTTGCACACTTATCACAGATACACATAAAATACACATTCAACCAATGTCTTAAAAAATTATAACATTGAAAATTACACAGCCTCTAATCTACAAACTAAAAATTTAGATTAGCAGAAACCAATAGGATGTCAGTGTATTATAACTCTGTGATCAGTCTAACACATTTAAACAATGATCTCGGTCAGATCAACACAGATTTAAAGTTGTGTCAATGATTCTCAGGCATGTGGAGCAAATCAAACACTTTTTGTATTGAAATTAATTCAAATCACAAACATGACGATGATAAGATCAGTGACGTTTTTCAAATCAGGACTCACCTGGGATGTTTTCATCTAATCGGTTCTTTAATGTTTTAAAACGCGGAGGTTGCACGCGACCTTAAATTGTTGTGGTAAAAATAATAAATATATACACTACATATTTTCATGTTGACGGCAGAAGTTATGATGAACACATTACACCTCACCTGAAACCTTAAATATTCGTTTTTACAACGAATGAACTGATGGAATTACAGGATTTACGACATCAGAACAGTGACGTCTTACTTTACGGCAGTAAACAGTTAGCAGCTTAGCTGTTATCCTGTCTAGCCGCAGTTAAAATGTATTTATAGGTATAAAAACAGACATTTATAGACAAACAGGAGCTCGTTTTAAACAACAAAATCACACCGATTCAACTGACCTCGTTTACGTTCAACCGGAAGTAAAAATAACGTGAATAAAAGTCGATTGTGTCCCTCGTTTAGTTTTAGCGCCGCTCGTCAAACTTCCAAAACAACGTATTTTCAGTCCATTTAAAGTATTGACAAAAGATTTGACCAATCATGTTCAGTCTCTCTGAAATCAGGAAACGCCCCGAAAACACATAAACCAATCAGCATCTTTCTACGACATAAAGGGACGTATCTAACGAACTTTTAACCCTATCAACCAATCAGAGGAGAGCATCTCTAAGTATGCTCCACGTGTATCTTATTGACAGCTGGTTTCATCCAATGGGAAGTCAGCACCGTGAAAACACGGTGAGTTTGGAGCAACTTAAATTACCTGCATGACCATATATGGAAGTTACTGTATGTGGACTTCCTGTGGTAGTGGGACACCCACATAACAGAGAAACTTTATTTATGTTTATGGAGGCGAGATTCAATGATAATAAATATGTAAATCTTTATTTAAATATTAAAAACATCTTTTTATAGTCACATTTAACACTTAGGGACATTTTTTCAGAATCATAAAGAGATTTATTTTCATCATTTGCTAACTTTGAAAAAGTTTTACAGAGCTCTGGAGTCCTCTGCTGGAGATGCTCTGTACTGCACTTTCTAAAATATCTCACACACACTTCTGTCAATCAACCTCAAATTTGGTACACACATTACAGACAAGTTGAGGGACAGATCCTGTGAATTTCAACCTGATG